CGGCGCCGTCCCCAGCGCGTTCTCAAAGGCCGTCTCGGCGACTTTTAGAATCGGGTAGGTCGCCACCATCTGGAGGGCGTGGTCGAGGTTGGCGGGGAAGTCGCGGCCCGCGGGGGCCGAAAAGGACGAGACGCGGGGGAGCCGCGGGCGGGCCATCGCGCCGGCGGTCTTCGCGCCTTTGCTGCCTTCGCCGCCCTGGAGCTTCAGGATATCGAACGAGCTGCTGGACTGCGAAAACAACAACGCGTCCTGCTGGGATTTGGAGATGCAGAGCGGGAGAAGGGAGTTGCTTTGGGAGGAGCGTCGGGTGTTGGAGGAGACGCCGACCGGCTGGTTTAACGGATTTCCCGTGGGGTTAACGGCGATGGGGGTATCCTTTGGGGTGTCGGCCGAAAATGGGTTATTCGCGTTGCTTGAATTTCCATTTTGGTGCTGGGGAATCTCAAATGACATACTTTATCCTATTAGTGATACTATTAGCCGTCGCTGTCGCGTTTCTAATGAAAGAGATTGGCTTAATTTTTTGTCGTCTAGTAGTCATAAATAGTAAGGCAAGGTGAAAGGGTCACAAAAGTTGAAACATTCTAAATTGTACAGAAACATCTATAATTTTAGAAGAGGGTATAGCTCATAATGGTCCCATTATGCGCATAAAAGGACTACGGGATCTGAATTACACACAGTTGCTTTCGAGAAAGGACTTGATGCCCATCATCTTCCGCTTCTTCCTTTTCAAATGTTTAAGAGTGAGAACATTTTTTAAACAAAGGAAAAAAATGAAGAGGAACTTGTATAAAAGCCTAAATGTCGCTACAAATATTTTTAATAGGAAAAGAAATCCAGCGCGTTAGTTACGGCCCTCCGTGGGCGCACTAAATCGCCAACGTTCGCAAGTAAAAATTGCCTCACCGACGAAATCCTGCCTTCATACTCAATATCGTGACGAAGGAAAATGATAAGACTACAAATTTTAAAAGTGTGATTTAGTGCATCCGATGTAAAGAACATTTACAGAAAATACATTTTACAAGAATAACATGAAGTGTCAGTACGTAGTAATGTCTAGAAAATCGGATCCTTAGTATACTCTTTTTATTTTCTTTCTGTGGATATATTTTCCTAGATCTGTCAATTATATGATTAAACATTTTCGTTACTTGCTTGGATCGTCGCAATGACGGATTGTCCGTATTGCTTACTCCACATCCCATCTACAATCCATCCTCGAAGTTCACATCGCCAATGTCCTCCGCGGCGTTCTCCAGCGCGCGTTCACGCTCATCGCGTTCATCCTGATATAAGCGCTTTCGCTCCGCCTCTAAATCTGGATCGGTTGCCGAATACCGCATCGCACGCTTCGCATCGTTGTGGGTTGTGTTTAAAAATTGAATTCGCCGCTGAAAGGCATACAAAGGTTCCGTTGTTGAGTATACATCCACGCTGTCGCTTGTGATTAACTCCCGTTTAGCGTTATCCAGGACGGCGTCAATCACCCCATCGTGGATCGCCTTGGACAAAATATACTCCGCATCCGCCGGGTTTTCCATCGACAGCTTCACACACACATCCGAAATGCTGATCCGACTATAGGCTTGGCAAATTCGCCGGAGTCCGGTCTTGATGACGTGCTGACGAACGCGCAGAACGAGCGAGTAGGTGCGGTCATGATCAAAGATCTCCTTATGTTGTTGTAAAATCGACATAAATCGACCGAGTTGGCCAAAGCGCACACAAGAAGTGAGCTGGAGGTAGGGCGATAGGCATTCCCGCATGTCCTTCGCCAAAAAATCCGACCGCGGGGGGATCTCCCCCAGGAGCTGCTGGACCACCAAGGACAACTTTGTCGCCGCGATGCGGAAGCCGTGGGCGCGCTCCGGGGCCTTCCGCAGGGCCTGCTGAAGGGAGTGATGGGCCGCCACGTACTCCAACCGCAGGGCCTGGGTGAAGCCGACGTAGTAGTAGTACCGCGCCGCCTGATTGTTGGAGTGGTGGGGCAACGTCAGATCGCACGTCGCGATCAAAGACTCGGCCTGTTCGTGTTGATGGGTGTGCGTGAGAAGGGCCAGGACGTCGTTTAAAATGACCTCCATCCCAAGCTCGTCGTGGCGAACGCAAAGGGCGCGATAGAGCTTCATCAGAGAGGTGAGGTGCGCGGCATCGCTGTTGGCCGGCCGCTCCACGCCGGTAGGAATGGGGTTCTCCGAAGCCACAGACGCCATCACGTTTCGTTCCTTTTCGATAAGGTAAACTAAGATACAATAAATTAATAAATCGATGGTCCGTGTAAATTTCCGGGAACGATGAAAGCAATCCCACAACTCTGCTATTGAATGGTAAACTGTGTAGCTTAACTGCTGGGTTGTGTGTATAATAAGAGAGGAAGAAATAATAATAATAATAATAATGAAAAGAAAAGGAAAAAACAATCAGATTTTCTTGTGTAAGGGGGACAAGTCATAAACAATGGATATCTCGATGCCAAAAATCGATCCCAAGAAGTGCATTTTTCAGCTGCACTGCGTGGTAAACCTTTATGAGATTTATTGTTTACTATATATTTAAGACTTAATCGAAGTTTAGCGCCAAATTTCTCAGGAAGAAGTAGTGTGATTTTGGTGGGGGTTTGTGGGTGGGTGGTGGCGGGGGGTTCAAGCTCCCCCAATGCCAAGAACGAATAATGAAAAGAGCATCCAGGCTTCTTTTCCAAGTCACCGGTGCCACGACCGTTGATTCGCATCGTTCCCTAACGCGTGTTCGTTAGGTTCGATGTCCCGGTAAGGCTCAACGCGGGCGTCGCTTAGAGTGGGGAGCGGTACGCGCATTCAGCCAGTCCTCCTCACGCTTGCGCTTGCGCGAGCTCTCCTTTCGGTGAGATTCCATCACCTCGGCGAAGTCGTCGCCGTCGTCGTCGTGGCGGTGGGGATTCCCCCCCAGGGCGGTTTGGCTGTCGTCGTCCGCGCCGTCGTCGGTGGGCT